AGAGATGCCATTTCTGAAATTTCCACAGCATTCACTCTTTTCTTTTCTTTTCTTTTCTTTTCTTTTCTTTTCTTTTCTTTTCTTTTCTTTTCTTTTCTTTCTTTTCTTGTCTTTTCTTTCTTTTCTTGTCTTCTCCTTCTCCTTCTCCTTCTCCTTCTCCTTCTCCTTCTCCTTCTCCTTCTCCTTCTCCTTCTCCTTCTCCTTCTCCTTCTCCTTCTCCTTCTCCTCCTCCTTCTCCTTCTCCTTCTCCTTCTCCTTCTCCTTCTCCTTCTCCTTCTCCTTCTCCTTCTCCTTCTCCTTCTCCTTCTCCTTCTCCTTCTCCTTCTCCTTCTCCTTCTCCTTCTCCTTCTCCTTCTCCTTCTCCTTCTCCTTCTCCTTCTCCTTCTCCTTCTCCTTCTCCTTCTCCTTCTCCTTCTCCTTCTCCTTCTCCTTCTCCTTCTCCTTCTCCTTCTCCTTCTCCTTCTCCTTCTCCTTCTCCTTCTCCTTCTCCTTCTCCTTCTCCTTCTCCTTCTCCTTCTCCTTCTCCTTCTCCTTCTCCTTCTCCTTCTCCTTCTCCTTCTCCTTCTCCTTCTCCTTCTCCTTCTCCTTCTCCTTCTCCTTCTCCTTCTCCTTCTCCTTCTCCTTCTCCTTCTCCTTCTCCTTCTCCTTCTCCTTCTCCTTCTCCTTCTCCTTCTCCTTCTCCTTCTCCTTCTCCTTCTCCTTCTCCTTCTCCTTCTCCTTCTCCTTCTCCTCCTCTCTCCTCTCCTCTCCTCTCCTCTCCTTTCTTTCTTTTTTCTCCTCTCCCTTCCCCTTCACTTACCTTCCCCTGTTTTTCCTTTCTTTTGTTTTCATTTCATGTTTCGTTTACCTGACAATTTAATGAACTACCATGTGGAAATTCAGAAAAGTCAACCATTCCGAAAGAAGTCAACAGTATTGTCATTCCTGACTTCATAACAGAGCATTCTCCATTTTCTATTGGAGGTTGCTGTTTTCATTGTTAGTCTCATTTACACCAAGTTAGTGTATGCATTATATAAATACTAGCAGAAAACTTCCTTCACAAGGCGAAAGTGAAACCCACTTGGCAAGTCTTTGAGCATGCATATTCACCAGATGGCAACTTTTAAACTGGAACAGAATAATGGATTTGGCCTATGTACCAAAATCTACTAGTTAATGCGTTCATTAAAATCGGAAGGAACTCAATGTCAAAGTTACTAGAGAAAAGGCCTGGCAAAGTCTTGGTCTGGAGATGAGGCCATATGTGTCCTCAGAGACACATGTTGCTGCTTTTCGAATTTCGAAAATTTCGAATTTTCTGACTCTGTATGAAACAAGGCAACAATTATTTCAGACAAACTTAATAATATCATCATACTATGCTATTTTAAATCGCTGCGAAGTAGGAGATACTGAAACTAAAATAAATAGAATTAGTAGCTTAAATAATAGCTTCAGTCCACTACAAAGTATGTATACCGTTTTAGACCAAAATGGCTATGAGAGAGGGCAGAATGTATTTCCTATTGATACTGCATTGAGCCTTTTGATCCGTCAGACTAGGTGTAATAAAAGTACTTTTGCCAGCAGTATGGTAGTTGTTATGCTGACATCAATGACTAGCACACAAGACAAAATGCAAGGTCAATGAAATCAACATCTGTTTCCTGCAGCCTTGCTCAATTTCTTTCCTCACAGGCTAAGATGTTTCTGCTATGGTAGGCGGGTGGAAAATAAAGTGGGTTTTTTTAATAATTTCCAATAGAGTTAGAGTAACTTATTTTTCTGCTAAAGGTAGTAAAATGCCACAATTAATCTCCATAGGGTAGTATATTACTTTTAACACAACACAAAAAATGTCACGATTTTTTGTAGTAATCTCACTCCTACATTACTTAAAAGCCACAAGATAGCCATGGCCTGTGTTAAAATAAATACTTCATAAAAAAACCCCAAACCCAGTACTGTTAAGATTTTAGTAAGATTTTATTTGTCACCATATGGATTATACAAAGTATCTTAAGTATTTAAAAAAAAAAAAAAAAAAAGGAAAAATATCTAACTTATCTCTTTGCCTGCTTAGGCCTAGGAAATGCCTTATCCAATTAAACCACTTATTTTATTCCTTTTTTAGAAAATAAATCCCCACCCAAGGTGACAATATGAAAGCCAGGCTTCGGATGAAAACAAATTAACACAGTCTACATACGAAAATCCCTTAAAATACCCACAGATTCACACCAGTAATAACCTGTTCTCTGTTACACACAGCAGTACTACAGAATGCTGCTATTCTCTGTGAAGCTTTTGGCTTCAGCCTTAAAATAGTGATGGTCAGACTACCACTGTAGCACAGGGGTGCAGAGTCAAAACTCAATAAGCTGAACTTTTGCCAACAAAAACATGTATCTTGCCACAAGATAACTTCTCTGATGAATCTGTTCACATATTGACAATCTTACTTTTGGCAACTCCAGGTAGAAGAAATTGAACTCATAGGAAACCTTTCCTTCCAAGATGTGTGCAGCTCATTTTAGGTGAGCAAGGAAAAACATGAGAAAGACAATGGAAGCGGGAAAAAAGAAAACAGGCCAGCAGTTGCAAAGTGCAATAGTACTGTGGTGGCTGTATGCCCTTTCCTCCTCACTCCAAGAATTCCAACATTTTAAAGGGCAGTTATTAACATGAATTAACTCTGCATGGATTAGTCAAGTCCAGCAGATGAAGACTGCAGTTCTAAGCTATTTTTAATCTATGTAGCTAATTATGATTCTAGATTATAAGAACTGAGTAAGCATGGTACTTCCTGTTGGAAACACCTATTCCTTGATAATTACATTTAGTTAAGCACTACATCATGTGTCAAGGAGCTGAGCTGAAATTCATTAATAAAAAGCAGGAGGAAACCCTTTAATTAAAGCAGCAGACAATACTATTTGCATTCAAGGAACAACTAAGTACTGTGCTAACAGTTTAAAGCAAATCGCTTCTGAACAGCAACCTGATTCAGTCATTTTAAAATCCAGGCGCTGCAGAGCGATGAATGGATCAGTTTCCTGAATGCTGGAAAACATTCTGAAAAACAGCTAAAATCAAGAATTAAAGCAGCTGCATCCTAGTCTCCAGGAAGTAATTAATAAGCCTGTGCTTTGAGTACGTATATGACACATACATCTGACTTGTCTCACTCTGCCATAAAATGTAAATACTCCAGACGAATTTACACAAAGCGTACAAAAAAAACAAACAACAAACAAAACGACAAAAAACCTAAACAGAGCATTCTTCACTTGGTGCAGTAGTAAAACAAACACTTTCTAATAATACATACTTGTACAAAGTTTTCTATTTGGAATGTTAAGCAGTCAGGTACACAAACAAGTGGTGTGTCCCTAGTCATCATGCTCATCTTTGAACTTTCTGGATTTGTAAAACAGGGACATTTCTATAACACATACTGTGGTAATCTCAGATTACTGTGATATATTCTGATTTTGAATTCAAACACCTCACAGGGAAGAGTTTATTAGGAAAATCTGATTTGGTGAAAAAGAAAATGTGGGATGCCGATATGCCAGAATCTAAGTGCCAGACTCCTAATTTCTATTACTCAACACCCTGGAAAATAGCCAGACAAGCCTTCCCTATTTGTGGATCAGCAAAACCTCAGATGGTGATTCTACACAAAGCTTGAAGCATGCCTGAACTATAGAAATTTTGCAAGGTTTAGTGATCTTTCCAAGAAAAGTGAGTCTTGTTACACTGTGACTGCTGATATCTTTCTGGGAACTAAGAGGAGTGAAAATAAACTGTGCCCCTAGAGAATCTAGCATATAATAAAGCTTCAACCAGTAACCCATATTGGAGGTATTAGGGTATTTCTAGGTGGGCTATATGTATTACTGCACAGTGACACAAGACTGCATTGTACCTGCATTCCTACTTTCCTTTTTATGGATGGGAACATGTAAAAAACTTCTCTGACAGTCTCTGCTGTTGAATTTTTTGAGCATTCATACTTGCTATATGTCAGTACACTTAGGCACACAGACATGAACTAAATAAACAGAAATTAAGTGCATCTTAGGAGGAAAGTACTACACTTGAACCACCAGTCTCATAAAAATAGAATAAAATTTATAAAATACAACCACCTGCATGTATTGCAGAAGTGGGGAATGAAGACTGTTTGCCTAGATGCCCATAACCCAGACCATGAGAAATAATCTGCAAGACTAATTCATTCTGCAAACACAGTAATTTTTATCTTATCCCTTTTTTATCATCAACAAGCCATTTTAGGTATCCTTATTTGCCTTCTAACTGTGCATACAACTCTCACTTTCTTTCTCACGGCTTAATCAAGACTGTCAAGGAAAAAAAATGCAACAAAACACACCAAACACAAAATAGTAAAGTATAAATAAAACAGAAGGTCTGTAAGTGCATTCTGATGCCTTTATACAGTATTTGGGCATTCTAACACATCCTTTCTTTCTTTAGCTATTTAAACATGGGAAGAGAGGTCTAACTCACAGATCATATGCACATTTTGTTGAGCCATATAAGATACATTTCTTTCATTCTGACATCAAAGCTCTTAAAGTGTGACATTGGTATGTTTGAATTTCTATTAGGCTCAGTGACTGATGCTGATGACTCTTTGCAATACAAACTCTGCTGTGCAACCATACTATAAACCTTTTGCCTTTCTGCTAAGCCTTGCTAAAACTGCATTATTTCCTAGTGGCTAGAACATTTTTTGGATTGTACACAGACTGTTGAACTCCAGCGGCACTTGCAGCTACAGCCAGAATAACAGACCTTCACCTTTTCATCCTAGAAATTGCTGAAAAAACCCGATGTGTATGCATACACATCCAGAGACACAGAGCACATCATCATGCATGCACAGACAAATAAGTATCACTAATATCTATATTACTCCAGCTTTTTTTAAAGATACAGGGAAAGATGGACAGAATAGAGAAGACAAGCCAAAAAGATGCATTTCTTACCATGTGCCACCCAGCCATGTTTGCACTGATCACAGGTTCTCAGGTTAATCTTCCCTGGCTGAAAACATTCACAAGTGCAATTTACCAGTGTACAGCGGATGGCCTGAAAAAAAGAACACCACAAAGAACACATATTAATGCCTTTCTTCCTTCTGGTACAAATTTGCTTTGAGGGCTAGCAGGGTAATAACTCTACAGCAAAAAAACAGACTTCAAACATTGAAAGAATTGCTCAGTCTTTTAAGTAAAGATTAATTTTCTTTCAAAAACATATATCGGTATTCCTGAGCAATGACAAACAAAATGCCTGTTCAATAATAACACAGTCTGTTGTCCCATGGAGTGGAATATGTTCCTAACGTCTTTAAAAGAACTACTCTATTTCCTTAGGAAAAAAAACCAACACAACAACACAAAAAAAGTGGTAGGATAAGGATTCTGTAGGTGTTCTGCAAATTTCCTGGTTTTTCATCAAGCGCCTGAAGGAAAATCTTAATAGTGATGTCTCACCATAGCAGCATATCAACTGGATTAAAGCCAAAAGTAAAATGAGGAAACAAAAACATACAAAAAGGAAAACTACAGATCTCTTTCCCCTTCCCCCACTATATGCAAAGGTTACTCTCAAGTTTTCTTTTTGCAATTCACATATGATATAACATTACAGAAAGTACTCATGATTTCATATGTTCCCAAAATAGGACAAAATTATCAAGGTACAAGAATAGGACTAATTCATAGAATATCCTGTAACTTCTCTTTGCACCTATCTCTTTCTCCAATATCTAGGCTTAGCCCTCTACCTCTTAGCATTTTCTATTTGTTTAACATATATTTCTCTGTTTTGCAAAAGACAAAACTGCTGCAAAGCAGGTATAGTAAAATTCTCACTCCCATGCAGAGATCTAAAATTCACTTAAATAATAGGTCAATTCCCTTTCTAAAATTATTTCAAAAGTTACACAGGTTTACTTTGACGGAGTCTAGCTACATCTACAAAAAAAGTGAATATAAATTGAATGAGACGCTAATGTGTAACAGACACATGTTTTAAAATAGTGTAGAAGATGACCTGTGCACTTCAAACTGCTACTAATAAATTTATGACATGCATTTAGATGTAATTTGCATGGAGATTTCTGAGACACAGAGGTTTATTCTGATCATTCACAGATTAACAATCTACTGTAACTATCAGAGCTGCCAGGAAAGGATACCTCTACAGATTTAGATCAAATCAATGATTACTCAGGGGCTAATGGGGGGGAAGGGTGCTTGGTACTTATGGCCACTGAGACACCAAAGCATTATGAAGGCTCTTGCCTTTAACTCTTTCCATAAGAAAAAAGAACTACCTTAATGATATCAACTTAAAGAAAATTACATTCAACTTTAGCTGGTTCAAGCTAAAGTCCTTGTTTGCTGTCAACAAAAAAAGATTTGGAGTTCTTTTAAATGTTTTACCTAGGTTTATTTAGCACCTCCCCTATGAAGATAGGCTGAGGAAGTTGGGATTGTTCAGCCTGGAGAAGAGGATGTTCTGAGGTGACCTTATAGTGGCTTCCAATACCTGAAGGGGGCCTACAAGAAAGCTGGGACAGGTCTTTTTGAACAGGCATACAGTGAGAGGAAAAGGTGTAATGGTTTGAAACTAGAAGAGGGGAGATTTATATTAGAGATTAGGAGGAAATTCTTTACTATGAGGGTGGTGAGGCACTGAAACAGGTTGCCCAGGGAGGCTGTGGAAGCCCCATCCCTGGCAGTGTTCAAGGCCAGGTTACATGAGGCTCTAAGCAACCTGATCTAGTGGGAGGTTTCCCTGCCCATACAGGAGCAATTGAATGTAGATGACTTTTAAGGTCCCTTCCAACCCTAACTCTTCTGTGATTCTATGATCTCTTTACTTATTTATCTGCATCAGACAGCAGTTTAAAGCCTTTTATAGTTCATAGATACACTTAAAATCTGTATTTCTCTGACAAATTTCTGGTGCAAGAGTTCTTTCTCCTTCCTATCCTATCTGCTTTTTTACTGTCTTTTTACTCACAAAAACCTAGTGTAGATAAAAAATAAATCCTGCTCTATTATGCCTGACATTTCAGGGCCTCAGTCCCAATGTCACCTGTCCAATTACTCATTAGCTAGGTTATAAAACACTGCTGTATGTATGTGTGATTAAAAGAATTAGTACTATGAAATATAAGAGTACCAAAGAACTGCTGACTGTGCAAGAATAATATATGTGTTTGTGGGTTATGAGAAAAAAATTCTCCTGAAAGGTTCTGTTTCATGTTCAATAGTTTATTGACTCAGTAATATATCAGGTCTCCACTCATCAGTAATGGTGTTCTTTCCCTATGTTCATTAATTAATGAACTCAGTAATTAATTGCACTGCAAGAGGAATGGTATTCTTATTTTACCATAAAAGGTTTTCTTTCTTTCACCACCTTTTAAAAATCTCTGCACCAGTGCGATACACTTTTGTGAAATTTGATGTTGTCTTGTTCATGTGCCACTTAGAGAACGTATAATAGGAGTAATATAGTGTATATACACATACTAGATGAAACTATGCCATTCGGTAGAGTTGCTTTATTAAAGCTCAGCAGCATTTTCATTACTATCCTACCTATTTTTGGCCTAGAGGTTAAGAGGTTGCCTGTAAATATTGGATTCAGCTTGAACCTGAAATACAATCTTTCAGGCTAAGAGTGAATTTTATTACACGCATTTAAAAATTATCCATTTAGCCATTATAAATTATAAGATGGGGGGAAAAAAAGTTTAGAGGTTTCATGTTCTTTTTCCTGAGCTAAAAAGTCATGATAACGTAAAGTGTTGGAGGAGATTAGTTAATTATTAAGATTTCTTTTTATACATATCCCCACAAATTCACACAAACTTTTCAGAAATGTGAAAATGTCAACTTGTTCCTTAAATAACTAAATCTGAAAGTCTTCTGAAAGACTATGCTTTTTTTTAAGTATGGGTTGGTATGAGAAACTACAAAGGTAAGTATAATGGCAAAAGATTCAGCCTGCACTTACTTGTCCACTTTTTCTGCAAAGGGTGTGTTGATTCCAGATTGTCACATGGTTTTAGTATTCCCCATCCCATTATTGAGAATCCCATGCATACTTCTGAGTGATGAGGGTAACCCGTCAAGCTGCAAGATGCTCATTTGGGACTGAAAAAACTGGTACTCTAGTTCACATTCTAGCATGATCTTGGGCAAATTATTTTGTTAGCCTCATGATTATATTCCCTAAACAATAACTAGAAACAATGACACTAAGTCAAGGTAAATGTAACATAAATGGCAAGGCACACTGTAGTGATGGAGGCTATTGAAATTCTCAAGTAGAATTCAGTTTTTATTTCAAACATTAATTTTTCACGTTACTCAGTTAATCCAGAATCACTGTGACTACCTCAATTCACTGATATACCAAACATGAAACCAACACAACTTGACAGAGAGAAGATTCAAGGAGCCAGGAATAGTATGTGTTCCTATACACACAGATAGAACATAAAAATTCATTAACACAAAATAGAGCATTGCCTTTAAAGACCTTCACAATGCAACCAATATATGTACAGAGTCTTGCAAGGATATGCATCTGAATTATTATCAGAATCTTTTAACTGGTTTTCAGTAGTGCTTAATTAAGGCATACAAATACTCCTCAGTTTGTGAAACAGGCTCATGAATAATGGCATAGATCCACCTAAAAATCCAAAGCTTTAATGCAGCCCCTCCATTCCCTAGTGACAGGATTTTAAGATACAGAAATAATGCACTCTAATTCTGCCTATGCAACTTATTGCTAAAAAGTTTATGGAATGGGACTCTGTATACCGTGCTGTTTTGCAGGGGAAGAAACACAAATTTTTCCTAAGGCTTTCCCAAGAAAGAAAGTAAAGCACCAGAAGGAAAGAAAAAGAAATCAATGACCTTGTATAGTGAGAGAACAGTATAACCTAGACTCCTCCTGTAGCAGCTGATTGGCAACCATGTATGTAGATGTATGTCAGTGATGATGATAACCTGCAGGTTAAGGCCCTTAAGTAAGCAAGAATACATAGTTTTCTAAAGCTTCTTGAAAAATGCCATTATGTTTTTCTACCATGTCAATGATCTGCAGATAACAGGGCTTCTCAGACTTTTTTATACATTCCCTTCAGTAAGTTCCTAAAATAAAATAAAAATTACAGTGGCCCTTGAGGATCTGTGGAGCAAATTGACTGGTTTTCAGTAGAAACATTTAAAATAGTTTATATGACTGATCCTTTAATTCCTAAAGGAATGCTATTAAGGTTTAAAAACAAAACACAAAATACAAGAATAAATTAATGGTTTGATGATTGACACTGAAACATTCAGAAATACCTTGGTGCTCTCTTGAGAACTTCTTCCTGTAGTGTGTAATGCAGAAAGAAGGGAACTTTGCCTAGTATTAAAGCATGTGGTCTGAGTTTGTATGTTTAACATTAAAAGATGTTAGACCTGACTTCTTTGCATTTCCCTGAGACCAAAGATACTAATTTAACAGAGTGTGGGTAATTTCATTATATCCAACAAGTAAATATTTTTCATATATTAATAAGAACAGCCTATATCAGTAATGGAAAATCAATCTGTCTGGTTGTTTTGCAGAGCTTCCCAGAGTTAAGAAAAAATAAACTATCATAAAAGGGATCAAAGAGTGGGAGAAGGAGGAGACAGTGTAACGAAGAAACACAATTCCTCCTCTAGATTTCTTACAAGTAACCACAAAAGATGAAGGCAGGTTAAAATTATGCAACCTTCTGGGGAAACAGGTAAGTTTGGCAGATTCCTTTATCCTGAATTTTAATAGTAGATCTAGCAAAAATTCTTAACATAACTTGTGACAAGGCTCCAAGAGCCCTGTGAGGTTAAACAGTCTTAGTGAAGTCTCAGCTACATGCTATACAGCTGGCAGTGTTAACAGAGTCTTGCCTCATCTTTCTCATGTACAAAAGAAATGTCTCCTATCAAGCCGTCTATGATAAAGAGGATCACTGCACATCAATACATAACAGTCAACTATACCCAGTCTTTGCATAGAAGTTCCAG